TTTTTTTTCGGATGAGAGGGAAGTAGAGCATTTAGCAGAAGCAGAGGCTGCGGAGTGACCAGGAATCCCCTGTGGCTCCTTGAAGATATTGGGAGGGGTCTCTGGTTTCCCTCCATGTGTGGGGAGGCGGTTGAGCCCAGTTATTGGACAGATGCACTAAGAGTACATCTTACTTGCCAAATAAATAATCTGTTAGGGGTGACGTTTTCTGTAGAATAGAGTGCTAATCTCATTCTGCTGAGTCTCCCCAATCTGGTGGCCTTGGTTACATTTTTCTTCTCTGTATTTTCCCCCAAACTCCTTTTCTCCTCTTTTTCCAGGGAGAATAACAGATGTTCAAAAGTTGTTTCTGGTGCTCTGTTTCAGTTTAAAGATTAAAAAGTCAGTTGTTTTAACATGAGATCCTATGGTGAGTCGAGATTTTTTTCTCCAAATGCCCCCTTCATTTTCTTTTCTTTCTTTTTTTTTTTTTTTTATAAAGATGACCGGTAAGGGGATCTTAACCCTTGGCTTGGTGTTGTCAGCACCACGCTCACCCAGTGAGCTAACCGGCCATCCCTATATGGGATCCGAACCCGTGGCCTTGGTGCTATCAGCACCGCACTCTCCCGAGTGAGCCACAGGCCGGCCCAGCCCCTTCATTTTCTGTGCCTGGCTGTTCACCCACATTCTCTGCAATTCTCCGTGCTATGAACCATCCTTTCAGCAAATTCCATTCTGCTCCAATTAGCCTGTGTTCTGGTTTGCAGTTAGGACCACAGCCTCAGTCTCAGCATTAGGAAGTACATGTTAATTATTATTATCATTATTTTATTTTATTTTTTTGATGGCTGACCAGTACAGACATCTGAACCTTTGACCTTGGTGTTATAACACTGCGTTCTAACCAACTAAGCAACTGGCCAGCCCCAATTATTCTACACTGAGATCATGCTCTCATGCTACGAGTGAATGTGGCAGCTCTGGAGGAGAAGGTAGTGTGAGGGGAAAAAATGAAAGGAAAACAAAAAGTTTGAAAGAGCAAAACTAATCACACATTAATAGCAGAGGAAGCAGTAGTAATTGACGTATCTAATTGGACATGCTATCTCCATAGGATGGATTTTTAAAATATTTTTAAAAATTATGATTGAGCTAATTATCCTGATTTGAGCATCACATATTGCACACAGGTATTGATATTCAACATATTGATATGTACAATCAAATGTGCTTCAATAAAAACATTTAAAAAATTATGATTGGGATACAATTCATATAACGTAAATGCCACCATTTTTGTGTACATTATAGTGGTTTTTAGTATATTTACAATGTTGTGCTATAATTGCAATGAGCTTTAGAATATTTTCTCTACCTAAAAAAACCGTACTTCACTACTTTTTATGAACTACTACTCCATTGCAAGGACATTCCCCATTTTGTTTATCCGTTCATTGGTTTAACGTTTAAGTTGTTTCCAATTTTGGGCTATTGTGAACACGACCATTGCTGTTCAAGCTTTTGCGTCCCCACAGAGTTAGGTTGACTGTAGTGAGCTGCCCCATGTGCCCTAAAGTGGTGTGTGGAGGTTGCAGGTGACTCCATCCTGTTCTTAGGGACTCCTCCCTCTGTGCCCAGTGCTCCCACCCTTTGACTGAGGTGCCCTGGGCAGCTGGGCTATTGCCCGGAGGTGCCCACCCTTCCCTATCACCCTCCCCTTTCCTGGGGCTGCCTACCCTTGAAGACTGTCTGCATAGTCTTGATGTTTGTTTTGACTTAGTCCAGAGACCCGTATCAATTGGGAAACCTAAGGAGACCAACCCCTGAGCAGTTAGTGCAGGTTTCAAACATCCTTTGGTTGGCCTGGGAGATTAGAATACAGGCTTCTGGGCCGGCCTGGTGGCGCACTCGGTAGAGTGAGGCGCTTGGGAGCGCGGTGGCACTCCCGCCGAGGATTCGGATCCCATATAGAGACCGGTTTGCTCACTGGTTGAGCGTGGTGCGGGCGCGACATCGAGGGTTGCGATCCCATTGCCGGTCACGAAAAAAGACAAAAAGGAAAAAAAAAAAAGAATACAGGCTTCTTGTGCGTATTTGTTGTAAGGGACAAATGCCAATTTCTAGAAAGCCCATTGGGGGGTCGAGTGGAAAAACACACACACACAAAGCAAAGGGTCTTTCCTCTGCTCCCACAGCACAATCAACACAGAAGACAGACTTCTGTGACCACATGTGTGGGGATTTCTCCCCACCAATCAATTCTGCAGTGGACAACAGCTGTGCGTCCTCTAATTCAAATATATTCTGACACTATCCATGTGAAGATAGCATCATATCCCACAATTTAAGGGCTCAGACCCCAAGACTGCTCCCCCCTTCAGATGCCAATCACAAGTCCAGGGCTCCGGAATTTCTGCCCATCTATAAATTGGGGTTCCCACAAGCCTCTTCTTGGGTTTGATTGATTTGCTGATAGAACTCAGAGAAACACTTACTTACATTTACCAGTTTGCTATGAAAGATTTTTTGGTGGCTGGATGGTACGGGGATCTGAACCCTTGACCTTGATGTTACCAACACCGCACTCTAACCAACTGAGCTAACTGGCTAGCCTATCAAGATACAAATAAGCAGGCAGATGAAGAGATGCAGAGGTTGAGGTCTGGGACGGCCCTGAGCGCAGGAGCTTCTGTTTCCGTGGAGTTGAGATGTGCTGCCCTCCCAGCATGTGATGAGTGCAGGTGTCCAGAAGGTCTCCGAGTCCTGTCCTTTTGGGTTTTTATGGAAGTTTCATTACATAGGCATGATCGAAGCATGAAATACAGAAATGTGATTGGACAAAAAGGGGTCTGATCTAACGCAAACAGCCCGGGTGGGGAAACCCAGCAGGGCCTGCATGTTCAAGTTCCTTTTGGCCTTTCTGTGCTGCAATCCTTCCTCCTGGGTTTGGGGCAGGACCCCTTTTGGAATGAGGGTCTTATGACCTACAATCAGATGAGGCAGGTCAGAGAACTTCTTTATGGCCAGCTCAAGACAGAAAGTGGGAAAAGGTTAGAACAAGCCAGGAACCGTGGATGTAAACCAAAATTACATAAAATATCATCGGCCCTTCCTATTTTTTTTAACACAGATCTCTTACAGCAAAGGGATATACAGCTCAAAATATAATGGCACATTACTAGAATCCTATTCAGTCATTACTAATTAGTCCAGTCCATTATTATAAAATACAAATTTCTCCCTGGTTGAGTTGCTCAGGTGTCAGGTTTTAAAACCAGGAAAGAGTACATCTGGCAAACACATAACTTCACCCTTTCAGGCATCTGGAATAATTGAGCTAGGAGATATTGTCGTCTCTTGCTCTGAGACTCTTTTGAGGTGTTAATGTAATATTGGATTTCCCTTAGCACATAACCCATTTATTTGCTTTTTACCCTTAGCTACTATTCCTCTGTCTCTCCA